AGGACGACGAACTGGCAACGGCTGGACCGCAGCAGCTCGGGATAGACACACTCCTTCCGCGACCGAGCTTCAACCAGAGCGACGCCTCGCGTTCGCGCCCTGCGCGGCGGCGGGGTTGGCCCGCAGAGTCCAGGGGCGAGACCAAAGTGGTGTCGACAGCCAGCTGGGCACCGCCATGCAAGGACAACCCATTCGTCGAGCCGCCGGTCATCGACGTGGTCAACCACCAGGTTGAGATCGGCCAAGCGGGTGTTGGTGGTCACCCGGGCCCCAGCTTCAACGGCAAACGCGGGCAGCCGCCCGTTCGAGGGCGCACCCGCGACTCCGCAACACACCCGCCCGAGAACACGCTGCGCGGCGGTCGCCGAGCGAGTCCAAACGGCGATGGCACCAGCAGGTGTTGCCGAAGAAGGGATCCGGACAAGGTGCGAAGGGGCGGTGAGCGGTCAGAACACGGCCAGCGAAGGGCCCCTGCTGCGACTCCAACAGCACCAGCGCAGAGGGGTCAAGGCGGAGGGGCAGGTCCTGGAAGAGGCGGTCTGGCTGTGTCACCGCTGAGAAACAAGTTGTCAGCATCATCGGGGCCAAGTAGGGGGCTCCCAGCCGGGCAGGACCGCACGCAGAAGCGAAGGCGTTCGCCTTTTCAAAACAGGCAAGCTATCGGTCCAAGACGCCCAATACGCAGCGGGGGCGGCGGCGGCCGCAGAACGCAGACCGAAACCAAGCCGAAGACCTTGCGACGCCCAACGCCTACCGGGGCAACGGGCCTGCCTGAAGCAGGGTGGACAAGCAGTCCCCAACAGCGAGGTCATGGGCAGTAGCGAACTCTGCCGTGGACTCAGGTGGGAGCAAACGCAGAACACGGTTGCACCGAGGAGTGCAGCAGAACAGCAAAAGCAGCCAAGAAGCCTGCACGTCCTCCAAGGTGGGAAGCGTGGCGAGAGCGTCGAGCTGAGCTGCGACAAACTGGGGGGAGCCGATGGGCACGCCGAGCACACGGAGGCCCTGCTGGGCGGGAGCCAAGGCAGGCGATCCGACAAACACAGGATCCTCGCCAACAGCAAGTTCGGAGATTCCAGCAAGCTCCCGGCCGCGTCTTGCCATGGTTCAGGCGAATGCACGCAGAGCATCAATCAATCTATCTATCTACCTGTACCTGACCAGGACCAGCGCTGCGCCTCCCGCAAGATCTGCACCTCACCTTGCGAAAGTGCCGCGCCTTCCACGAAAACCATGTTTGAGCGAGATTTGCGAAGGTGCTGCACGTGCCGCGAAATCTGCGCCACGAAATCTGTACCAATCCTTGCGAAAGTGTTGCTCCTGTCAGGCAATGGCGTGAAAAGCGAGCGTGTCCGTGCCAATGGGCTCGGCTCCGACGTGGCTTCGAGATCTCCCCGAACGTGCTCCGACCAGGCGTCGTGGTCAGGCTAACTTTCGAGCATTCAAAGGAACTCAAACCCGCAGAGCGCTGCACTTTTAAATCACTTCTAGATATTCCCCCCCCTCCGCAAGCGCACGCATTGTGCTCTGCGTTCTGTTGGAGAGCTAGCTTTCAGTGAAAGTTACCATACCACGGAAGATCCTTCTAGATTTCTTTAACTATGTGCAATTATGCATGTGGTGTGGGGGGGCACGCCCTCTCTGCGATATCAACGTTGAATGTCTGTTTGTATGGTGCCTTTGCACTCGTAACAGGGGTCCTTGGCATTGCAAAGCTAGCAAAACCTCATTTCCCGCGGCTATGCGTCTGCACAAACGCAAAGTTCGCACTGGAAACAAGAAACCCCTAAAGTGAGGAACCTATGGGGCTCGATATGTAACTTTGGCTCCCTTGCCACCAAAGCCTGAATGACGATTCTAGTGGCTGAAGGTCCGAAACAGGTTGCATGAGGAACAAAAATAAAAACCTTATTGTTGCGCTGTTGACTGCATCGTGTTTTTGGTGCTGCCACAAAATACCAGTCATCAGGTAACGATGGAACACAATTGAGTTGACGGATGTTGGTGGCCAACCACCCACGGTCCACCAGCGATACTTCACTAATGTTCATCCACCAAGGTGGTCTGTGTCCACAACTACGTGTGTTCCTTGTACTTTTGTCGCATCAAGCGGATCTCTGTCTCCACAAGTGCTAGACACTGTTCTCTAACATGGCGATTAACCTACATATACATCGCACCCTAACTCCGCCAAAAGTGTTGTTTGATAAGTTCATTGAATCGTGGCACTTGTCATGTGGCGAGTGTCTACTTGATGAATAGGATGTTCTTCTAGTATAGGTATGGACACGAGCAGAAGATCGGCCCAGCCATGCCGACACCAAACATGTGGCTTGAAGCAACTCCCAACTTGAAGCGACAAATTACGCCCTGCAACCAACTACAACACAGGCGCAACAAGTCAGGTGAAGTGCTGTTTTCTCAACAAGCGCGTTGACTTGTTGCTGGTGGGAAAATGCACATGCTCAAACAAGTTAAATGTTGAATCCGTAGCCCAGTGTTTGCATTGGAAACCGGATGACCTTGTTCAGTGGCTTTTGGTCGCAACCCCTAACAAAGCCACGGATTCGAAGGGCGGAATCCACTGAACAACTGGGTATGCCAAAGCAAAACCAAGAGGCCGAGCAAAAGGACCAAAGGACGTCTCTAAGAAAAGGCCACAGAACTCCAACAGAGCAGGACTAAACAGGAACAAAACCAAAGGAAGCAACTTGGTTGCTTCAAAATGGGGTGCTCCTAATGCGTAGCACAAGGGAAATCATCCCCATCTGGCAACAGGCTCTTAGGGATTGATTCGGATTGATTGTGAGCAACCAAAGCAACTGAAATTCCAGACGAGCCACGGTCAAAATTCCTCGTTCAGACGAGAGGACACGGGACAGTACGGGCTCGTCCCCTGTTGTTTGTGGAAAATATGGAGCTTGTCCTCCATGCCCCTCCCAAATGAGCCAAGGAACTACAACTTAACATGGCAGCCACACATCCCCGCGTAGAGCGTAGAGCAATCTCCCTTTGAGTGATCAAGTCCTTTGTGTGAGTTCCATGTTACCTTCCAAACCTCCGAATTAATTCCCACGAGGCGCAGCTCCGGCTTGGGCCCGTCCCAGGAGAACTGAGGGCCTTCGGAGTCCGCCTCCCCACGCAGAGCCGTACGCGCCTCGGGGTCGGAAGCCAGGCCGAGCAGCGCGAGCGGACCGCGCGTTTGTTGAAACCTATTTACATTCAAAAGGTGTAGGTGCCTGTCAGGAGAGAATAAAACAGATTCTTAAGCATTTCCAGTAGAGAAATCGATTCGATCCATCTCGTTTCCCTTTCCCAGCTGCTGTGATAGCCAGCCTTCACGCGCGGTGCGGACGCCGACGTCGACACGAAAGCATCCAAGGCCCAGCGAAGCGTCAGAGCCACTACTCCAAGGATAAGCAGCCGCGTCAGCCGCAGGGCGGCCATGCTTCCACAAACGGAAAACTCTGAAGCCCCCAGTTTTGGGGTCTGGTGTGGGTCGTTTTTTTGAGCCAGAATGGCTTGGGGAAGCATCAAACAATCCGCGATTCCCTTCTGGAGTGTCTGACAAAAACATAACATATGCAACAAATGATCCATCCTCCTGACAGACATGGCATCAACATGATCTGGCTCATTCGCCATCAGTCCTTCCAAAGAGGTTGCCTGGAGTTCCCTTGAAACATCGCACCAGCCAATGGAAAGACACTGAGACGGGGCTTGACAACCGCCCTAAGGGGCACATGCAGCGAGAGCGAGCACGGGCCACCAAGGGCAACTCAAGTCTTTGCTTCCCCACGTAAAGACCCGGTTGCTTGGGGCGGGGAGGAGGTTCCAGCCCTGGAGTTCCATCAGTTCCGTTCTCTCCTTGGTTGGAAGCGAGTTAATTCCTTGCGCTGAGAAAGTCCCACGCTCAGAACAGAAAACAAGAAAAGCCACAAGCCCAAACCAAGACCATCCAAAACCAAAACCTCAAAAGCTCTTTGAGCCGCGAATACGCCTGAAGCCTCCACTCAAAGGCATGCAGCCCGCCTTCCAGCCACTTGTGCCAAGGGGCCGCGGGCTCAAGCCCTGCACGGGGCCCTCCGTCAAGCCATCGAGTTCTACTAAGATTAAAACTCCTTAAAGTGGCCGCATGTTGAAAGGTTGTCAAAAATACTTTTTGGGGTTCCCTTGAAAACCACTAGTTAAAGGACAACCCGAATGCTGTCACTTAACTGAAGCCAATTCTACTGCCCAAAAAGATGGTCACTTGCAAAAAGTGGAGGGCTCCGGTGCTCAGTAGAAAGAGAAGCATATTGTTTGTTTCATGGCTGGGTGATAATGCATCTGCGCGGTCTTGATCCGTAACACGCCTGCCATATATCCAGCACACGAACGGCGAGCTGGGACCATCAAGGCGAGGGCTTTGCCAGTTTGCATGTGTCAGCCATCGGAGCCCGGCCCGGCGAAACCCTGTTGCTCCTAAGTCAGCTGAGTTCACAGCGCCGTCTTGCACAGTCAGCCAGGCCCAAACGAAAAGCGCAAGCCTCACGTGGAAAGCGTGCCCAAAGGACAAATCAGAATAACCCGTCACTTCAAAACCAAGAGCCCTTCCCTCCACCTTGTCGAGAGCTCCAGGAAAATATCCATTCACCAAATCCCTCTGCAATTGCTTGTTGTTTGGGAAAAAAAACAACTCAGAGATGTTCCTGAAACTTGTGCCTTAGATGTTTCTGCCAAACTACCTGAAAGCTGCAGGGCCACTTCTTCGGACAAAGCCCGTGGCCGCATTTTTCCCACATGGTCATTTTTGTCTGGCCGGTGGCCGTATTTGGACGCGAGGAGCCCGTATTTGTTCAACAACATGGTGACCAAATGGCCGCTTTTTGTGGCACAGTCAGCATGGGCAGACCCAAACTGCACATGCTGGCTTCTAGCAATCTGTTGGTTTCCCCTTGTGCAAATCGTGTGCTATTTAGTTCCCAGGACTGTTGCGTACTAAATGCTTGCCCAGGGGCGTCCCCTTGGATTCCGTGCTTGTTCACCAGCCGGACCTGCTTCCGCAAGACCTGTCAGGTCCAAAGCATCCGCTGATCCCCCACATGGAGCGTTCATTTGTCTTCTCTGTTTTTCGTGGCCATTGTTGGCCACTTGTTTGGTAATAAGCCTTTACGCCATCTTTTCTGCAGCCTTTTTTGTTGGGATCTGCTTTCCGGACACCCCCCCCTTCCCCCTGCTTTGGACCCAAAGAGGGCGCACTCCCCTGGGGCTTCTGAGCACCTTCTGCCCTCGCACGCTGGGATCAGTGGCTCAAAATGGTCGCACCCCACCAATTCCTCCAAACGAGCAATGGAAACTATGGGAAGAATCTTTTTCGGATTGCCCCCGTTTTGTGGCGAATCCCTGCAAACTTAACATGAACCTGCAACCCAACAAGGAGTCCCGCAAAAGGGGCCTCCGCTAAGCTCAAAGGATTGCTGGGTTCCATGACCTGCATGAGTGTACCACCGGACGCTGACACCGGCAAAGCGAAGCCCCGAGACTTTTCAAGGCCGTGGCCCACGCCTGGACGTTCTTGTGGCCTAAGGGCACCACGTTGTGCAGCAGCCTGGGCTGCATTGAAGATCAAGGCAGCTGGCATCTGAGGTATTTGGTAGCATTGCTTGGAAGAAGCGCTCTTGGCGGATAGTTTCACTGTTTGGCGTCTTACTTGGGTTGCTGCGATTTTGCCAATCAACCCTCGTCGAAGCGTGTCACAGACCTGGAGAAAGCAAAGGTTCTAGCCCTTTCCTTTGGGATGACTCTTGCTCCTAGCAAATTGCGCAAGCAGCATCGCAGAAAACAACCCCAGATTTTGACCTTGACACACTCCCCGAAAGTACCTAACATGTGTCCAAAAAAGCAAGTTAATAAATCACGCAGCGTAGAAGCTATGCCGTCCAGTTTGCATAGGAAGTGCCAAGGAAGGCATACACCATACAGAGGTCTGTTGACCCCGTCTGTTGACCCCCCATGGAAGATTTACCCCCCGAGGAGAATGGTCTTATTAGCAGCAACAAACCTCGGAGATAGATCACTGCTAGAGCTCCTTGGGCCTGGCATTCACCTTGAATTTCTGCAATTCCAAAACGAACGAACGAATCCGGGTCTCAATTTCCAAAACCTAAATCATTGGATCCCCAAACCAAGCCCAAAAAAGACCTGTGGTGAGCCTGTTGCGGCAGATGTGCGTGTCTAGGTGACTAGTTCAAAACCCCAGGACTTTGGAAGTTTGAAGGGCCGTTGGATGAAAGTAGATGGCACAACCCGCCCATGTTGATTTTATCATCCCCTTGACTTATGGAAAAAAGGAAATCGGAATAGTGCCATCTACACCTACCCTGGTGTACAGCAAATAAGTTGCACTTGCAGTGGACCATATAGTAACCCAAGAGCGGGCCCCCGCAAAACTCTACATGAGTCTGTGCAAAGAAACAAATGGGGCCGGTTGCTGGGATAACTCATCCCTCCATGTGTCAGCTTGCTTTTTCCCTCTTTGGGTAGGTCGAAACTGGTTGGGACCCGAGCCAGTGATAGCCCTATAGACATGCAACCTCTCTCAACGTCACTCAATTCCGCTAGCTAGAAAAAACATAGCGTGGCTTTTTGCCCCAACGAGTTCAGTAGTTTGCCAGTAGAGCAGGCAACATGACAACCCCTTGCAACAGAAATCGCGGGTCGTCAGCCACAGGAGATACCCACAATGGCCGTCTGCCACTCATCTCGATGCAAGAGAGATTCAGCTTCACATCATCAAAGGCCAAACCTCGGAAGGACAATGGTGCTGATAGGGAGTTGGCCCCTGTTAGCCAAAACATGCTTCTTCCTGGCGGTGTGCTGGACCATTCTATCGCCTGCCTCCCATTTCTGGGAAGAAAACAAGAAAACAAACACATCCCTGCTTCTCGTATAGAAAGAATGTAATTACAAACGAATGTTTGAGGCTTCAGGGGGTGCACCATCATAAGTGCAAAACAAAGGCCTTCAGAGTATTTCACCAAGAGCGCTTTTCTGTGAAGGCGGGCACTTGGCAGGGGGTATGTGCCCGTGACACATGATGCCCCTCCAGGCCCCGCCCCACCCCCAACCATCCCTAAAGCGCTACGCAACCCGCAGCCCGGCACTCCGAGCAATCCAACCCCCAACCAACCCCAAAGCAACCATCCTAAGTTGAGCAGAAGGGACCCGGAGTTCACATATACCAACCTGAATCAACCCTAAACCAACTCCAAATCAGCCCTAAACCAACACTAAAATTATTCCAAACCGACCCTAAACACCTAACCAACCCGCAGTCAGAGCAGCTCATCAGCTTAAGCCGAAACCCTGAGGATGAATATCCACATGTCACTCTTCACCGAGGTCGGACTACCATGTTTTACCAACAAATCAGGGTCTCAAATCACAGGTTCCTCTTGCTTCCCTGATTCTGGTCCAACGTGATCACGGACGCACGCAGTACATTAAACCCATATATATATATATATAAAACATCTATTGCTAGGAAAGTAACAAAAGAGCTCGCCCGGGCCCAGGGCCAGGGGTCCACTGACCAAGTCCTTCCTGGCTTCCTGGGGCTTCCGTGGCAGGCACATGGCCTGCAGCTCGGGGGGAGCACTCGCCTAGCATTCAGTGCATACGTCATCCCCCGATACATCATCCGGGCCCACTACAGATTTGGGGGTGGGCGGCTCTACGAATCACTCGGGCTCCAACAAAAGAGCAACAGCTGAAGCCGCTTATGTCAGATCTCTCATTCCTGAGCAAATTCAAGGGTCATATCAAGAGAAATTTCGACAACCACCACTTGCCGAGCAGCGGTAGCTGAAGCTGCCTGGAAGGCCACTGGGGCTTGCTTGGCCTCAGGTTCTTTTTTTTGTGTTTTTCGGGGGGGGGAAGGGAGCCATTGGATTCTTGGATGTTCAACCTGCTTCGTAAGCAAGTCAGAATGCGGGTTTTATGCTCACTTATAACCATGGCGCAGGGGGTCCCAGCGGAGGTTTTGTACTCAAATGGGCACAATACCAGCAAAAACGTAATTTGCTGAGAAAGCAATTGAAATGGAATTGGTCCACGTATTGTTTTGTATGTGTTATGTGTCAATTCAAAACAAAACTTACAACTTACAGAAACCTTGCAGTTAAACATTGTCTTTCTTTGGAGAACCGCCTGATGCGACTGCCATTTGCGTGGGCAAGATATTTGCGGTTCAGAATTGGTTGCGCATTGCCTGCTCGAAAATTAGCATTCAAATACGAGGGTCCGGAAAGAACCACAACATACTTTTTGACAGGGCGCATGTGTGTGTGTGTGTGTAGTACACCAACACGTGGACATAGGACCCCCGAAACAGCACTGACCCATGCGAAGAAACGGCCAGTGCCTGGAACGGGAGCTGAAACCGTTTTAGTCTGGTCATGGCAACACGGACAGTCCCATATCTTCTGGGTTTATAGTGGGTGACCCCGCAAAATGTCACAACAAGCTCTTCAAGAGGCAAGGGCCCCCAGGAATAACACACTATTTCCCGCCCCTTGGAATTTGGAAGGCCCTTTTGCTGGGACAGACATAGGCCCCTTACAAAAAGCTAGGTGTGTGCCGGGCGACAGGGACAAAAGAAGAAACGAAAAGGCAAGAAACTAAAAAGGCTAGCGTGTCTGCAAATGCGAAACGCGTGGGAAAACAGCACTCACAACTCACCTGCAGTGTCCATCGGATACGGATCGGAGCTGCCGCTAAGAGCAGCGCCCATGAAGAGAGTCCGAAACTCATCGACCTCTGCGTCCGCAAAGCCGGTGTCCCTCAGAGAAAGCGAGCCCCACCCACACACACCCCCCCAAGACAAGGGCTGTTTTCACCGATTCTGCCTCATTCCATGAGAAGGCGCTTTAAGCCCGTTTGGCTAGGCATCCTGAACTCTACGATGGGCAATGTTAAACAATCTGGTTTCAGGTTCCTTCTGGAAACCATCCAATATGAGGCAACCCGCCGGGCAATTGTCCTCGCGCTCTTCAAAAATAAGAGCCTCTATGCTTGCGTTAAGGGCCATAATATGATCCCAACGGCCTCTGTGTGCTGAAGGATGTCTGCTGTTGGATGTGTGCTTGTCTTTTGTAAGCAAATGCACTAGGCCTCACATTGGCAACCCCGGGGCATTGCAGGGGTATCGATGGGGTATCGACAGGGGTATCGTTCTGGGCGTGTGTCAAGTTGCGGAAAACTTTCACATTTTGCTATATGCTGTTAGAGCCAAGCAAGCGCGCAATAGCCTTCTCTGCCTTGCGGCAGTCATGTGATCAGCGGACTAAACTATCCTTGTCTGCTCCCAAGTGTTGGTGAAGGGTCGCGCGGCCTCGCGCTTGGGCCCAGCCATCGGTTTAGGCGGTTTTGCTTGCTGGCTGCAACTTCCAGGTCGCAAGTCGCAACTTTCAGTACAAGCGCGGTACACAAGTTACTCTTCGGCAGCTCCAGCTCGAAGGTCGCAGCTTGCGCCGGGCTTGTGAGCCGCTCACGCCGCTCAACGCTCCACATTGCTTGCAAGCAGAATGACACTTGAGACGTGAATGAATGCATCATGTTCACAAGCCATGTTCAGAGGGGTATCGTTTTTAGTGAGCCCCCTATCGTTCTCCAAGGAAAATGCCAAAAAAACAGTCTTGAATGAAACGCTGTTGATAAAGTGGTCTTTGATAATTCTGAAGTTGACTCATATAGGGAGCATGGCATACAGTTGACCTGAAGGGCGCAGGGACTGTTTACGAGCAAACCTTCCAGTAGTCTCGAATCTTCAAGGGCAAGCTTACAAATGCGTGTTCAGGGCAGGTCAGCCATTTAGCGGTAACTCATTGGCGTTTCAGGAATAGGCAAACCACAAGTCCATGTTCTGGCGTGGTATCTGGTCGCTTTCCCTGTCTTATTTCGTACCCTGTAAAACCAACCAAAAGCGGACCAACTAGCACAAGAGCCACACCAAAAGGACTTCCCATTTGGTTCATGCCCCTTTCAGATATTTATGCAACCTTATCCCTGTTCGGATTGGATCTAAAATTCGCAAACTGGACAAAGGAATCCACAACTAGATGCTCGTCTTACCCCAGGTGACACTCCGAAAAATGCATCACAAACAAATTCTATAACACGGGAACTACTCTTGATTGGGATGGTCGACGGGAATGGGTAATCAATCCTTATCCGTCGCAGGTGGGCTGGATTGAAGCTTCAAATGCTACAAAATAGTTCCAAAACCTCAATTTTTCAAGAAAAGGGCCACAATCCCGGCTGGGTCGGTGAGCTCGCCATAACAGACGTAAATACATTGCTGGTATGATTTTAAACTATATGGGTGGAATCCCTGAAATTGCTTGGTTTCTTTTGGGTAGCCCTTTCTTTTGTGTGAGTGTGTGTGTGTGTGAATTTGATAGGGCACCCTTTCCTGGACATCATTTAGGAAAATCATGCCCACCCCCACCGCTGAGGTGCTTCCAACTGAGGTGCTTCCAACTCTTCACTTTTTCCTACCCAGGAGTCAATCCAACCTGGCCAAAGGTTTGAGGCAAGTCGGCGACTTGCAAAACGGGCCCCCTGGAACTCCCCCCCCCCCACCATCCACCACCCCCCCCCAAGCCGAAGGCGCTGGATGGCTTGGCGCTCGCGCTTCAGCTTCGACGCCTCGATGAAGTCGTGGCAAATGCGGGCGAGCGCCAGAAAAGCCACGAGGCCGGAGGAAGCGGTGCCACCCAGCACCTCACCTCTGCGGTACCAAGTCACTCCCATGCCGTGAACTTGGCTGCTATTTGCTTTACCTCCACCCCACTAGCCCACTAAAAGTTGAAGCCTTCCTGGGGGCAATCGCCACGGGGTCAAAATTCGAAGATCTCAAAAGTGGCGTTTCCCTCCTGGGTTACCATTAGAATGACCCAACAAAGCACATGCGGCTTGTGTGTTTGTGGTTTGGTGTGTTGGTGTGTTTGTTTGTTTGTGTGTGTGTGTTATGTGTGGGATATGTGTGTGTCTCTCTGTGTGTGTGTGTGTGCATGTTTGCGTGCGCGCTGTGTGCGTGAGCGTTTGTGTCTTCGTGCGCTTGCGTGTTTGTGTGTGTGACTTTGTGTGTTTGTGTATGTGTGTGTGTGTGTTTGTGTGACTTTGTGTGTTTGTGTATGTGTGTGTGTGTGTGTTTGTGTGACTTTGTGTGTTTGTATATGTGTGTGTGTGTGTGTGTTTGTGTGTTGTTGTGCTTTTGTGTTTGTGTGAGTGTGTGTATGTGTGTGTGTGTGTTTTGTGTGTGTGTGTGTGGTGTGTGTATGTCTGTGACTGTCACTGTGTCTGCGTCTGTGTCTGTGCCTGTGTCTGTGTCTTTGTCTGTGTGCGGGTGTTTTGTTGTTTTTGCGTGTGTGTGCGTGTGTGTGTGTGTGTGGGGTTGTGTTTGTGTGTATTGTGTTGTGTGTTTGGCGTGTGTGTGTGTGGGTGTGTTTTGTGTGTGTGTGTTGTGTGTGTGTGTTCTTGTTGTGCTTGCTTTGTGCGTGTTTTGTGTGATGTGTGTGTGTGTGTGTGTTTGTGTTTGTGTTGTGTTGGATTTCTGTTAGTTTGTGTGTGTGTTGCTTGTGTGTGTGTGCGCGTGTGTGTGTGTATGTATGAATGTGTGAATGCATGTATGAATGTATGAATGTATGAATGTATGATTGTATGTATGAATGTAAGAAGGTATGAATGTATGAATGTATGAACATGTGAATGTATAAACGTGTCAATGTATAAATGTATGTACGTACGTACGTATGTATGTGTGTGTGTGTGTGTGTGTGTGTGTGCGTGTTTGTGTGGTTGTTTCTGTGTTTGTGTGTGTGTGTGTTGTGTGTTTGTGTGTGTGTGTGTTTGTGTGTGTGTGCGTGTATGTTTGTGTGTGGTGTGTGGTGTGTGGTGTGTGTGTGTGTGGTGTGTGTGTGTGGTGTGTGTGTGTGTTGTGTGTGGCGTGTGTGTGTGGGGTGTGTGTGGTGTGTGGTGTGTGTGGTGTGTGTGTGGTGTGTGTGGTGTGTGTGTGTGGTGTGTGTGTGTGTGTGTGGTGTGTGTGTGTGGTGTGTGTGTGTGTGGTGTGTGTGTGTGGTGTGTGTGTGTGGTGTGTGTGTGTGTGGTGTGTGGTGTGTGTGTGCGTGGTGTGTGTGTGTGTGTGGTGTGTGTGTGGTGTGTGTGTGTGTGTGTGTGGGGTGTGTGTGTGGTGTGTGGTGTGTGTGTGGTGTGTGTGTGTGGTGTGTGTGTGTGTGGTGTGTGTGTGTGGTGTGTGTGTGCGTGGTGTGTGTGTGGTGTGTGTGTGTGTGTGCGTGTGCGCGCGCGTGCGTGCGTGCCTGGGTGGGTGGGTGGGTTGGCGGGTGCGTGGGTGGGTGTGGGGGTGGGTGTGTGTGTGTGTGTGGGTGTGGGGGTGGGGGTGGGTGTGCGCGCGCGCGTGCGTGCGTGCTTGCGTGCGTGTGTGTGGGTGTTTGTGTGTGTGTGTGTGTCTTTGTGCTTTTGCGCTTGTGTGTTTTGTGTGTGCGCGTGTTTGCGTTTGTGTTTATGTGTTTGCATGCGTGCGTGGGTGCGTGGCTGCGTGTGTGTGTGCACATGTTTGTTTGCTTGCTTGTTTTTGCTTCTTTGTTGGGAGTCGAGATTGGCGAGGCTAGTGTGAAAAAACATTGGGCTTCGGACAACTGGGCAGAGTACCCCTTTGGGAGTTCCTCCAGAGCAAAACCACGGAAGCAAAGTGGTCACCATTCGGTTGACTAAAGCGAGACAAACTTGTAACCCAGTGGAACAAAACAGCCGGGGAGGTCGCCTACCCTCCCCACACAGGAGTCCCGAAGAAGAAAAAAAAACAAGCTCTACGCTGTCCTTTTTGAGGTTCCCCTTGTTGGATTGTTAAACGGAAACCGAAAGCAAACCACCCCTTTAGCGCCAGCAAAGGTCAGGGAAGGGAACTCATGCGGAAGAAAGAAATGATGCCAAGGACGCCATTTGAGCATTTCAGGAGAACATTGCCAGTCAATCTTGCGCTAAGCGATGCCAGCTAAAAGGATGGAAGCCTTACTCAACCAGGGGGAACATGCGACCCCAAGTGAACAACTCAATTGGCCCATGCTTTGCTTCCCCCCCCAAAAAAAAACTGTCCCGGCCTCTGCCCAACTCAAAACAACACCCCAGACCCAGAATGCGAATGGAAATCAGCTCTGCCACGTTTTGAGAGGACGCAATTTTTGTGGTTTCATGTTAACTTGCACGGTGGTCGGGGGTTATTCATGAATCTGAACAAACTCCCGAGGGCCCCACCAATCCATTCTGCTGACCCAGACGCTGAGTCTGGCCCGGTGGTCTTGCATGGTGTTCTTGTCTGCCAACATTGGGAACTTCTCCGTGAGAAGTCGCCTCAAGGTCTCAGGCCAATCATGCTGCCTGATGCCACATCGACCTGGGTAAATAGGGGATCTGGGGGATCTGTGTTGGTTAATTTGAAAGCGGCAACGTGTATGTACTTTTGGTGACGCTAACAAACCCACCCAAATGCAAGTCTTGACAATTTCCCTTCAAAAACAAATGGGCAATATAAACAAACATCTCCTCAAGCATGCCGGGCTTTTCAAATGCATCGCTGACCAATGTTAATCCCCAATCCCAAACTAACAAACCACCAACTCCTTTCCTACAAAAGGGGGCAAATCCTTTCCGCAGCACTCAATGGAACCGGGGTCCAAATGGCGCGGTGTCGGTTTCCTGTAGGGCTATTTGGCGCCGATAGGATGGGTCTCCAAGTCGGGCGACCCTGACAAACTTGGCATTCCTTTTAGTTGCTCTTTGAGCCAACCTATGGGAATCCTCAACCAAACACCCCCACCCCCATATCTTTCCAGGCCCGGCCTCAAATCGCTCGGGCGGATGCCGTCCGCATGGGCGTAGGCCTTGAAGTCTTGGCGGAAGGCCTCGACTTCCTCCTGGAGAAACACAGGCCCAAATGCCCCGCCGCCGCTCATCACAACCCATGTACCCCGCAGCATCCCTCTCGGAAAAGACTTCTGGATGACCTTTAGCCTTTAAGGGCAGACCTCGAAGGAAAGAAGGGTAGAGGTCTTGGCTTGCCATGCCCCCACTGAAGTTTAGAGGAAAATGGCTCCCGTGTTGACGGGAGGGTCCAAAAGGTATTGTAATAAACCAAAGCCATAACCATAGGAGCAAACCGTATGCAGTTCTTGGGCCCTCAGATTCCTAGCCAGTTGCAACTGCCCAACTCCTTGCTGCCAAACCTGACTGGAACCGCCAGCTCGACATCGTGGCAATTTGATGTTTGCACCGACTTCTTTTCCACTAGTATTGAACTCAAGGCTCTTGTGCATTCAGCGTCAAACGTCAAGAAGTGAAGTGCAGACATGTGTCACACCCATCTACCGGGATGGCTGATCATGTCCCAACAAATTCGAACCATGCATATGTGCCGATGTAAATATGCAATGTCATAAGGCCAAGGGCAACGTAACTTGAGGTGGCAAGCGAATGGATATGCCTGCTGTTTCTGCGTGTCAAGAAGCTATGTAATCCACATTGGACATTACGGGGCAGACGGAAGAGACTCGCTCATACCCCTCCAACAAATCTGCAGTGGACCAGTGACAGCGTTGTCAATTGCCCCTTTAAACAGATTCCATGAGGACTCAAAGGAAGATTTCTCACTCTTCATGCCGGACAGCACAGCAGGGCATGAGTGGAGCTATGGCTCACTGTTTGGCCGTGAGTCAAGCATATTTCATTTTAGCCACCAATAATATAGGGTGCATCTGGGTGATTCATGATCGCTCACCAATTTCAAATATGGGATCCCAAAGGCAGGAACCTTGCGATTGGTGGTTTTCGCACAAGCCAGATCCTTTTATTGGGTTGCCATTTGATTTGCCCAAATGTATCCCAATTCCACCCCTGTAGGATCGTCGGTAGAAAGCGTGAGGTGCCCCTGTCAAAAGAGGTTCAGAAGGAACCTTCTTAGGAAGTGTTCTAAGAAGGCTTCTCAGAACCTTCCGAGGAGTAGGGTACCCTACTGTCTGTCATGAGTATTCCAACATGTTCCAACACCCTGCTGTCCACTTTCACAATTGGAAACAGGACAACCAAACCCCAGCTCGCAGGAACCAAAACCTGGCCGTGCCACGCATTTGATGAACCCGGCCTTGCCAAAGCCATGATGCCGCCGGACCTACGCCGTGCTGACATCGCCAAGAGCGTTGGATGATTGGGTGGTGTCAAAAAGGGTCTTTGCATTATGGACCGATTGTTCCATGTAACCGTACTTGGGGTTGGTGTTATGGGTGGCTCGGAGGTTGTTTGGGGATGTTTGGGCGGGAGGGGGGACCAAATTCCGACAAAAACAGCAGAAACAACCATTAAACTTCCATGGGCCTATAGCCCAGCAGCAAAGCCGTGCATGGCCTTATCCGCAGGCAGAGCACGTTGCCTTGGCCCAACGGGATTTGAAGCCACCGCTGCGAAATGTGGCGCAGCGGCACGGAAACGTCAACATCTTGAATATTCAGCTGTGTTGTGGTGGGAGGGGTGTCTACGTGGTTGTGGAACGTTTTTGGTTGTGTCCCAGCATTTGTCTTTATCGTTTGTTTGGCAGCTTCCGCGTTGTTCTCCGCTGGCAAGCACGTCGGCAGAGCTTGTTGCCAGAAAGTGACGCTGCCAAAGGTTACGGCAACGTGCGGCATCGAAGCACGCTGCACGATCTTCCGTCGCGCCTGAACCATTCGCTTACGGCACAAAATGGTGTTGGTAGTGCAGCGCCCATGACACCAAGCACCAGCTGCAGCTTGACATGACACTGCACAGGTGTTTGCTTGCAGTTGCGTTGGGCGCCAGCAAAAGCTATATTTACCACACTGGAACCACAACGTCCATCCTAAAACGAGAGGGAACATAAGAAGCACCTCAAGGCAAATGAACCCAAACTCGGCAGGGGACGCATTCACGGGCCATCTAGCTTGCTGATCCAGGCGTGCACCGCAGGTACCCGCAGAGCCATCTAGCAGCCCTCCTCTGGCAGCCTCACTCCGGGGAGTGGCAACCCCAAATCCAAGTTGTCATTGTAGGGCTTGGCCAGTTCTCAAGCATGATCCCTAGACGGAAACCCCTGCAAAAGGGAAAAGGATTAAGCATCCCGCAATCGCCTCCCAAGGATTTCGTTCTGTCTGAATCACCCACATCGATCCCTCCGCATTCCGCCCATTCGACCTCCTCCCGCTGCTTCTTCCGCAGCTCTGAGGCCCAGGGGATGAAGTCCATAAAGGTCACCGCCCTCGGAAGCGACCAGAAGTCGGGCGTCAGAGGTCGGACCGGAGAAATTGCGATCCCCGGGGTTCCAGAGGAAAGAAATGACCAGTGTACTTATGGGGAAAAACAACCTGTTGTCTTTCTTGGTTGGCTCTGTAGGCAACCCCTCCAACACGAGGGGGAGCACGTTGGTTTGTCGACTTTGAAGAGAGCCCTGCGCCAACAGAAACAACCAAACTCCTCTGACAGCCTTCCTTATGCTGGGTTCCCCTAGGTTGGTTTGGACATGCGCCAAAAATGTACTAGAACTCTTCCTCACGGTGAACTTGCGTTTGCGCCCAACCCCATACAACGAACCCCGAATCGCAGAACCATGCTCCAAGAAATCTGTAAGACTTGTCGACCAAAGGGGTTGACCGAGAGAAGTAGGCAAGGGTTGACAAAAGAAGGACTGGATGTCGTTTGCTGTCAATAGTCTACGTATTTGGCTTATCTTCCGGACACAAGGACCCGATCTCTGCTTGGGAAAACAGCGCACTCTTCTTTGGTAGTTGTTTCAAGAACGGGACCTTCCTTCAAAGAAAAGCCAAAGGGCGTCTCTGGGTGTCTGCGGTAAATAGAAATCTAATTATTTCTCGTTTCATTTCCTGCCAACTCAAGTAACTCCAAAATAATGAAGGCTGGTATGATGGTGCGAGATAGGCCATGAGATATAAAATTCTGGTGTGCGCTACTTGCCCAGTCAGGGTTGACTCTCCTTCCCATAGAACCTTCTCCAATTCGCCTATCGGCAGTAGAGATTACATGGGGAGAGAGGAAGCGACGGAGAGAGCTGGGACATGTTGTCACTTTCTGATCGTTTCCTTTCCTCCCGTCCCAATATAAGAATTCTGTAAAGAAAAGGCTTGCATGCCATCTAAGCTCTCTGGGCTGCCACGCTTCGCCGCGTTCTCTGCCAGCACCGTTTCTTCAAACCTGAGGCTCGGGGGAATCTGAGCCCTGATGTGGCGGCCTGAGCCCAGATGCCACTTAAGAAAGGGCTCCATGCGTTGATTGTCCCAAGCTTTAGGCTTAAACCAAGGCTTAAGGAGTGGTTGGTTTCCGCAAAAAGCGAACCCCTGCAATTGAACTTACTTTGGGAAATCAACAAATGAAACCCTGGATTTAGTGATCACAAGAAGGACTATTGCAGAATCACAGCGCTTAGTGCCTAAACATGCGACCACTCAGGATCATTTTCTTCATCGCCACGCTCTCATGGCGACTGGTGCAACTTGGCTTGTCAAATGACTGGGGTTGCGTCCCGTCTAAGCTTGGGTGGGTTCGCCTTTCGTGATAGGCTCCTTCGTGCTGTTTGTGACTCCGCATGGGTGCCGCGGCGGAATGATGGGCTCTTGCTTTCTGTGGATCATAATATGGTGTCATAATAAACCGTTTTTCCTCCATATATGTAGAGCACTTCCGACCAGGCTCACGCCAAGGCGTGAAGCTGGGAGACTGACTTTCTTCTCAGGTAGCCCCAATACAAGAAGCCGCCCCTCCACAGCTTTGCCGGACACGGCACGTTGCTGTGCTGATGTTTAGGCGGTCGCGGATTGGGCTATGCGGGCGGTGCACCTCTCGCAGTCTGACCGTCCCAAAACCAAACGGCGGGCCAACTCCGGGCTTACTCCCCTCGGATTGAAAGCGCCACGACGTGGCGCCTGGTTGCGACATAAAGAATATGTGGCCAGAACCGCAATGGAAACCGCAACCTTGGGACCTGCTGCCATTTGAGGAAAGGTTGCCAGGCGAGGGCCCAAGCTAACTCCACAGTTGAGACTCTTCAAAGCACCACATTGGTGCTACTGGTACCTTAATCGCGAAACGGTGCATCCTTTACGCCGCATAAGGATTAGTGCCAAAATGGGAGGATTGCCCAGCTCCACTGGGCAGCTCCCCTCAGCAGCTGATGGGAGTAGAATTGATGCCACTCCCACAGCGAGGGAGGAATCCTCCCACCTCACCGGATGCCCTCCCGGCATCATGGGTGAGGAAGGAAAGTAGCGAAGATCAGCTTGATCAATTCGCTTTCGACTGAGGGGAAGACCCGGTTCTCAGTCGGAAATTGCGGGTCCGGATGAGTAAGTTCATCCGCCCATGTGTTAAAGTCGCGCTTCACATGCGACGGTCCTAACATGACCTGGTGGTCATGCAGTGTTAACACAATTTCCATGAGGATGGCCGCATTGGGCATCCTGCGAGTGGAATCGTTAAGCAGGGAGAAAACGTTTCCCTGGTTATCACTAGCAACCAGAATCCTAGTGTGAGAAGCCGAGCCGGCTGCACAAAGCAGAACAGCCCTCACCAAAAGGAGGAGGCCGAAGAGCTCCAAGGCCGCTATCGCCCGCTGCGGGTCCCCAGTAGTGAAGGCCCACGGCTCGCCCTCCGGTGTGATTCTGTGTTGGAACCACTTCACTCGGGACTTGTCGGGGTTGGGCACGTCCGAGCACCAACCACCAACCCATGCATGGTCCGCCTGTTTGCCAGCTCCCGCATCAGATGCCCCCGTCCATGGAAGTGTGGGAGCAAATGGAGATGCCAGTGGGAACCTCTGGTTGAAGAGCTTCCCCAGAAGGATGGCCAGAGCACGAACCAGCTTCGGTGGCCTGCCCGAAGTGGTGCAGGCCTTCTTCCAGCTCCAAAAGGGCTGGAGGAAAGGTTTCGTCAATGGACACGCCGAAGTAGCCCATTGAATCCGGCCCAGGGCTTGTTCCACCTCCTTGCTGGTAAAGATGTCCCCCTGGGCCAGCCGTTTGAGAGTGGCCAGGATTATGACGTGCTTGACTGGAGCCAGCAGCACACAGGGCGTGATTGGGTCCACCACGAATCCCAACCAGGTATTGACCGGGGAGAGCGCCGTCTTCTTCCAAGAAAGCGGGACTCCCAGCGCCAGAAGAGTGGCCAGGATGGCTGTGGCGTCCCAGTCCGCCCTGCTGCATCTGAGGACCCAGCAGTAGTCGTCCACAAAAACTAAGTGCCAGTCCACCTGAGGGAAGATGTAGTACAAGAGTCTGAGCACCAAGGATGCCTTTCTTCCCCAGTACAGTTGTGCCGAGGCCATGCCGTACGTGCCCACTCTATTGACCCACCACCGGTTCTGGATGCAGGCCACCTGGTATTTCCAGTCTTTCTGGAGCACTTTTATGCGCCTGTGGGCCTTGGTGACATCCGCCTTGAGGATGATGAAGGTTTCCCCCTGTGTCGGCGGCTGCCACGTCAGGGGTTCCCCCCTGCTCCCCCCAGGGCGTTCCGTGCCTGGGGGGGTTGGGGGGAATGGGGCCCTCCTATCAGGGCCCTCGGCACCTGGGAGTGGCCCCTTCCCTGAGGGTGTTGACCGCGGAGAGACGTCCAGGCCGCCGGAGGTCTCCATCATCCGCCTGCCCCTATCAGGGCCCTCGGCACCTGGGGGCAGGCTGGTGCTGTGGGGGTCCCTCTCAGGGCCCTCGGCACCTGGGGACTGCCCCTGCACCGGCTGGTGAACATCCCGAGGTTCCTCATCAGTGCCCGAGGATGGGGCTCGGAGTAGATGAGGATGGTCCGCCGCTGTCCTGAGCCAGTGGATGGCATGGAGGCAGTCTCCAACCATCGGTGCGGTGGTCTTCTCCTCCGTGTGAGCCTGGATGTGTGCGTTTGCTCCCCCTTTTGAGCCATCATAGATCGTCCTGATCTTGTCCGACTCATCAATCCCTGCAAGGGGGCCCGGGCAAAGTTCCTCCGGTTTGCAGCGGCACCTCTCTGCCGCCTCGGAGCGAGTGAAGGGCCCGTCCACCATGTCCAAGGCTCGTTCCTCGTAAAAGGTTGATTCGATTTCCTTGGCAAAGAGTTCAGCCGTTGGGTAGTTATCATGAGCCACTGGCGGGGGGGGATCTTCCCCCAGCCAGGCTTCTCCCTTAAGCTCCTCCTTAGTGGGCCAAACTCCCGGGGAGGTCAAGGTAGGGTCCGAGACTCCCAAGGGGACCCCCTCTTTCAGTGTTAGGGGGAACTCCCAATCAGGGTCACCTGAAAGGGATGCCAAGTGCGACACTAAGTCCAGGAGGAAGGGTTGTCCTGGGCATCGTTCATGGAGGTGCCTCGGTCCTAGGATAGCCCGCAGCTCCTCGAGGTCGGCTTCCTGGAAGGGGTGTGTGGTGGCACCTGATGCCAGGGACATTCGGACCTTGTCAATCCAGGGCCGGGTAAGGGTCATGATCAGGGCGCCCAAAGTAGCCAATGGGGAAATTCTCCGAAAAGGGGGGTTGAGCCTTTTTGGGGAAGGTTTTCCCCCCCCATCCCTCAGGGGGCGTGAGCGGAAACCCAATTGGACAATCGCCACCCGGTCAGTGAGGTGTGGGACCCTGAAAGCGGGCAGGCATTCGGGGCGGTCCAGGACCTGGTCCCCCTGTCCCTCCTTCCCCAGTTGTTCCGCATCTCCGGCCATCGGGGGCATGGGAGATGGGAAGTCTGGGTTCATTGTTCCACGAGGGCTTACGGTGTCTGCCTCAGGGTGGAACTGCCCGTGCAGGCGGGGCTTCGGGGCGTTCTTGCCTCCGGGCTTTGAGCCCTGGTGTGATGAGGAGGGACCGCCTCCTTGACTGGGCCCCCGTTTTCCCCGGGGGGAATGGCCTTCCGGGGGGTCCGACCCCCGCCCCTTAGGTGGTTCCTTGGGGTTTCCCGGAAATTGTGAGGGGATCCGGATGTGCCCCGGCGCTGCGAGTGACACAGCGATGGCTTTGGCCAGGCCTGCCATCATATCCCAAGGGTATCTGCTAAGAGTCGAGGACTCGTTGGTGCCCACATGTGACTGATGCGTGCACCGCATTTGATCCCAGTCCTGGATCGGGAGATCCGTGGCCAGCGTAGTGGCCTTCTTGACCAGCTGGCCCAGGCGGCACTGGTCGAAGGAGATTGCTGTCAAGGAGTTCTCCTCCATCCAAAGCTGCCCCTCCTCTGTGATCCAGAAGGATGAGCATTCCTTGGCTTTGGGCAGCGAGCTGCTCACCACTGGGTCCTCCGGGTGTTCCAGGAAGGACCTGGGCCCTGGCAGAGAAACCGCCGCTCGTGAGGCCCTTGCCAGGCTGGTGATGTACATCTGTCTCAGAATGAGGATGCTGTCATCATCAAGTTGAGTCTGGGCGGCCTGGTCCAGGTGTGGAAGGCCCCAAAGTGTCTCTGGAGTGCGCCCTCGCACCGGGGTGGGAGCCCCCGGTTTTGGTATGTGGCGCAGGATGGACCATGTCCTGCAGTTGGGTCCTCCTCCAATGAAGACCACTCGGCCCTGCTTTGCTGCCGTGCAAAGAGCTCCATACAGCTCGGGTTGGAGCATATCGTGGTCCCCTTTTGGTCCAGACCGTAGGATGTCTACCGCCACCACCATGCTGGAAAGGTGTGGGTAGTTGGCATGAAGACAGCTGTCCAAGGAAGTTGGGTCTTCCTTGCCTGCATAGAGCAGGACAATGATGGGCCCACTGGATGGAACTTTGGGCGATGTGCCCTGTGTCCATCTCAGCCGCTGTACCAGACGCTCAGGGATGTTCTCCATCCACGGGAAGATGTCCAATCCCGGTGACGGCTCCGTTGGACTTGTCAGGGGGGTAGCTGAAAGGCGTTGGCCCCCTTCATTCAGCCCCACCGAGCTCTTGTGGAAAACCACCGGGTCCTGCTTGATGATGTTGGGCGCCGGAAGTGGGATCGGCTGCTTCCTGGGAGTGTCCCTTGGCGTTGCGGTGTGCTGCCAGTCATCCGGCACTCGGGCCTTCTGGGTGCGGCCCCCCGTGTCAGGGCCCTCGGCACCTGCGGGGAACCGTCCCGTCCCCGCCATATCAGGGCCCTCGGCACCTGTGGCTCGGGACTGAGGCGCCGCCGTTGTGCCGGTTGTGTGGCTGTTCTGATCACGGCGAGGGCGTTGTGCACGCTGGTTCTGCCGTCCCCATCCTTGTTCCGCCGAGGATGGCCGC